GGTCTCCCAAAGTCCACACCTATGCTAGGGATAAGTACTGAACTTATCTACAAGAGGTCCTGTAGATTTCTGAGGTCTCCTCACTGGAACCCATATTCCTGGGGTCTGGATCAGTCCCATGCTGGTATCCCAGCTACTTGGATAATATTTCTATAGGCCGATTGGTATTAGAACAGTAGTAGATAAATCCAGCCCACAGGCCTTTGAGATTCTTGACTGCTGCTTAAGCTCAACACTTATTTATATTCCATTAGTAACCTTCCTGGTTTCACTCTCTGATCTAATAATTCATTATTCTTCTCTAGATTTTTTTTTAGATGCAGCTTTCCAAAGTTATCTTTTTTTGATAATTTTATTTCTTAGCACTCACATTCTTCCATACTTCATGTGTGGACAGGTTATGTGTGCACATGTAGAACTTTGAAGTTGCTATTTGTGATTCTTAGTCTTGGCTATCAACTTGATGGGATTTAAAATCACTTAGAAGACACAGCTTTGGGTATGTCTCTGAGGATCCTTCTGGAGAGGTTTAGCAGAGAAGGGAACACCCCTCCTGAATGTAGTGGCACCATTTCCTGGGCTGTTTCCGAGAGTGAATAACAAAGAAGGACTGGAAAATTGAGCTGAGGACTAGCTTTCCTATTACTCTACATCCTGACTGTGGATACATTGTGGCCAGTCATCACTTCCTCCAACTTCTGAGATTCTCCGCAATGCTGAGCTATACCCTTAAACTGTGAGCTTAAATCAACCCTTATTTCCTTCCTTAGGTTGCTTTTGTCACAGTAATGGAAAAAATAACTAATTTAGAAAATGCTATGGTTACAGTTGAATATGTTTGGGTCTAGGGCCAGTCTACAATTTATCTCTATATAAATGAGAAGACAAAATTGAGGCACAAAGAATTTTAGACAGAAGGTCGCATAAAAATAGCATATTCATTAAGTAGATAACAGTTCTGGGTATTGCTTATTCATCATAGTGTGTACCTGGAATTGTTCTAAAGTCTTTAGGTTAATAAGTTAACTCGGTTTTACATTCGTGCTGAGGCAGACACTGTCATTATCTTATAAATACGAGCATTAGAAACAGTTTCAGGATCATGCATAATAAAACAAACATAACTAATCTGCTGTGGTGATATCTTCCTTGTGAAACTAAAGCCCCTCTGAAGGTCAGAGAATGTAGCTTGCCATGAGCTAACCATAGAGGTCTGGACAGACAGACTGGAATGAGATAGCAGGGGGGGGGGGAACAGCATATAAGCACAGCCTGTATCAAGATAGGTTTCACAGTAAAAATAATACACTATATCCAATAACTATTGAAATTATCAATCTCGTGATGCAGAGTACACAAAAGCATGCAGAAGTTAAATGACGTGTGGATATGATATGGCCTGTAAGTGTCAGTGTAATATTAGAGACTGTATTCTGCTTCTCTGGGGGTAGTGAAGCTGGTTTTTTACATTCCTGTCCCTAGGTACCAGAGACTGTGCATGGCCACTGCCTTACAGACAAATGTCTAGGGTTGAATTATTGAAGTTTGAGATTTCAAGAAACCCCAAAAATGACCGTTTTAGGAAAACTCTCTTTGCCTTTATCTTTAAAAAGCCTCTCTAAAATATCAACCATTTTCTTGCAAGCTTGGTGAAACTAACGCTAACGGAAGCTATCTGTGCTGGAAGTGATGTATTCTGTCATTAGGTGATATTATTAGATATGATAGATGCAACTAAGCTTCTTTGAACCTGCACTTTCACTCTGAACTCACAAGACCAAAGTTTACTTTATTTCCCTCACTGGGTCCCATTAAGCACAAAGGGGAATAAACATTCATCCCCTTGATCTGTTCTGTATCTAACATTGTTCTAAGTTTCCTGGCAGTCACAGGTGCCGTCCTTTTGTGTGAGCTAACTTATACATCTCTCCTCAAACATGAAGCGTGTTTCAGATGTGTGCTGAGCAGTCTGAAATACAGTAGGACTCACACTTTCCGATTAAGTCCTGGAGCTGCTCCAGGAGGCTGGTGTGATGAATGCTCTGGATTCTCAACTGGGTGGGCTTTAGAGTCTCCCAGGAGACACACACATATCTAGGAACATCGGTGAGGGTACTTCGGAGGAAGAAGATGTACTCGGAATGTGGGTGGCACAGTATAGTCTCCAGTGAGTTATTTCATCTTTGCATGAGCTGTCAGGGGACTGGGATGAATAAGAGCAAAAGAGAGATGGTGTGCAGTGCACCAGCAGTCACCTCTGTCTGGTCCTGATGCAGAATGCCTGCCCGCTGTCATGGATCCCGTCACTCAAACCATGAGCCAAGATCAATCTTTCCTGTCTAAACTTGCTTTGGTTACCTATTTTGCCACAACCAGGAGAAAATCAACTATTGCAACTAGCTAAAAGCCTGGATGTGGGCTCAGCAGTTAAGAGTGCATACTGCTCTTCCAGAGGACTGGAGTTCTGTTCCTAGAAGGCCAAATAAGATAGTTCATAACTGCCTGTGCCTCCAGCTCCAGGGGGTCTGGTGCCTCTTCATGGCTTCCATGAGAAACCCATACACATGTGTACAGCAGCACACAGATATACATAGAGAAAAATTTAAAAATGAAAAATGGCCCTCTTAAGGGGATAGATGCTGAAATCCACTATCTAGCTTTATTCCTTCAAGAAAATGAATTTGGACATGTCCCCCCAACTCCCCATGTCCCGTTTCCTTCATGATCAAATGCGGATACATGTGCCTTCTTGGTTGAGTTACTAGACGATTTAGTGTAATCACGGAGTTAGACACGGAGAAAACTGCCTGCTGTGTAAGCCTGAAATCAGAGGCCATATATGATATTAGTTAAAAATGGAAGGTTTGCTATGCATAGACATTGACACAGCAAAGAAGAGCTTCGGTCTCCATCCTCAAAGGACTTCCACTTAAAATTCGATTTCATATTTCTTGTGAATTGACCTATGCTTGCATTTGACTCTGGAAAGCCATAAATCATGTCACTCCATAGGCACATAATTAGATATCAAGGGAAAAACCCGAGAGCTGCTTCTGGGAAAGGGAATCTTTTCTGTTCTGTTCCATCCCAATTTAGGCTGTTCAGTCACATCTCTTGGACTTGTGATTGGGTTTTCTAGAGAAGTGCTCTCTGTACTGCGTGTGCATGAGAGACCTTCCATCTGCGTCATCAACAGGGCCATTGATCAAACACACGGTGGAGTCAGAGACAGAGCCTGAAGCCATCAGTTAGAGCACTCTGTTTGGGGAGTCATTTGCTCAGTCAGAAATCCACCTAGCCATACTCACTCTCAATATTTCTTAATTTTGTTAATAAGACACTATGGGAGATATCCGAGGGAGGCTTATCTAGATCCAAATGTCTGTTATCAATTTATAGCATTACCTGCCTGGTAATCCCAAGTCAGTTTTTGAAAGAAAGAAGAAATAAGCTTATTGGAGAGCAGTTATTCTCAGACAAGCCACATGACTCTGGTAATTAACTCCCTCTCCGAGGACTCTCAGAAGCCTTCTGGAGACTCACTTATATAATCCAAGGAGGCGTTAATGGTACTTTGTCTTCTGTACCTTGAGACCTGTCTCTGCTTCATTTTGAAAGTGGAGCCTTCATTTTGTTTTTATTTTATTATTATTATTATTATTATTATTATTATTATTATTATTTCTGTTGCCAACACCTCTGCCACATCATCCACTGAGGCAGGTAAAGACAGCTTAGATATTTCCTTCACAAATTCAGAGTTTTGAGGTTTAATTTCTCAAGATCACCATACTTGGTGCACTTGCTGACACCCCTTGAAACCACCCCATCTAGTTTGCCATGGATCACACTTCCAGATGCCTCTCTAGCCCCCTCCAGTCAAAGCTCTCACTTGGGAAAAGTTGGAAACAAAATCTGTTGTTATACCATGTGGTCTCTTTTTATTTGTCTGCTTGTTCCTTCTTTAGTTTCTTTGCCTTTATGACGCTTCTATTCTTTCTGACTCTACTTTTCCAGGTAGTTCTCCTGGGTCTGTGATATTTGAGGGTTTCTTCAAACATGACCCCTTCTTTTGAACATCCAATCAAAATTTCCTATAAATACATACTGAATACCTGTCAGTGCCTGGTACTGTTCTAGGCATTGAGGATACAATAGTGAAAGACACAGGGATAGACATACACACACACACACACACAGCACCCAGCATGTAGCATGCCTCATTGTCTATTCTCTCCTGAGAGCCCTTTTTAAATGAAAATACTACTGCACTTTTCCCACCTAAGGGTGCTTTTCTTTTATTATGTTGAGCCTTGGGTACATGAGCATCATTCCACTCTCCTGAGTTGTCTCTTTGTAAGGATTCTCTAAAAGTTAATGAGTATAGGAGTTCCCCGTGTTAATGTGTGTGCTTGATACTAGAGGTCAGAGGAGTCTCTCGGATCTCTGTAGATGTTTATAGATGGTTGTGAGCTACCCTATGGGTGCTAGGAACCCAAACCAGGTCCTCTGCAATAGCAGCAAGTGCTATTAAGCACTAAGCCATCCTTCCAGCCTTTTGAATTGTCTTGGTACTGGGGTATTATTATTGAAGTTTAGAGTCTGAATATTTATGTCTGTATCTAAATATTTCTTATAGCATTTCTCTTCCATAATGTTTCTCCAGTGTTATCAGATTAGAAAAAATATGAGACCAGTAGGCTCTGTCTTCATTTATGCTTATTATAATTCTTTTGTGTTTTTTTTGTTTTTCTTTTTAGAGACAAGATAACATGTAGACAAGGAAGACCTCAAAGTTGCTATGCAGCCAAGGACCGTATCTTTTGTATGGTTCCATTATCGTACACGTTATTTTTTTCACAGACTTATTATAACACAGGATATTTTGCCAACTCACAAAAACTTTTTTTAGTGCATAGCAAGCTTCAGTTCAGCTGATGTCTCTCTTCTGCATGTGCTTGTATGCATCATTGCTAATGTGAAATGCTTTTGTCTTCTAGGAATAACCCTACATTGGTCTCTGGCATCCTAGTGGTATGGACATGGAGCATGCTGCAGTTTCCCCTGGACTTGGCAGGTAAATCTATTCATATTTGTGTAAAGAATGAGAAAATTGTGACTCTTCAATGTAAACTATACTAGGGCAAAGAAGGCAGTTGAGAGAACTCATGTTTTGATATCCTAGTGTTAGCTCTATTCCAACTTAGAAGGAAAGTAGGCTGAGACTCAGGAAAAACAAATTGTGGATCCACTTTGGTGCGTGATGGAGCTTAAGATAAATCAAATGAGCATAGCCAGGTATGGTGGTGTGTTCCTTTAATCCCAGCATGATGGTGATGGACACAGGAGGATCAGGAGTTCAAAGTCATGCTTGGCTAGATAGCAAGTTTGAGGTCAGCCTGGTTTATGGAAGATTCAGTTTCCAAAAAGTACCCTCCCAAAAATTAATAATAATAATAAATACTCAAGCAGTAAGCTATACTGCTTTATATTCAACTCAACTAATAGTTACTATTTATTGTATATAATCCTGCCAAAATTAATTTAGATGTATGTTCCTCAGTTTCTCATCTGTAATGACACAGCAGTTCAATTGATGTCTCAATTAAATAGTGAGTGCTTAGTGACCTGTTGGTGTGTGTTCTCCATATTTCCAGCCAGTCATGTTGTGAGACCCCTCATACAAAGTAAGAGCTGTAGTTTCAAGCCCCATGTGGAAAGTTATGATTTCCATTAATGGCAGTCTTTATTCTAACTTTAATGAATACATAAATCCTTAAAGGTTGGTAAGAAGTAAACTGTTTGGGCTATCATGCCATAATATTGATTTTGAATAGCTGTGCTGTCCTACAGCATGGTACCCACCAGCCACACACAGCTGGACAGATTTATATTAAATCAAACTTAGGGAACAACTCCTCAGTGACACTGGCCATATTTTACCTGCTTCATGGCCACATGTGGCTCTCATGTGATATGAGATATGATATGAAACCATTTTAGCATCATAGAGAGTACTATTTGAATGGTTTCAGCTTGGAATCACACCATAACTTTTTGGTCTGCTAGAAATGTGACTTGGCAATTCTTGTCCTTGGTCCTTTACTCTGGAGGAGCCCCAGACTTTAACACTTCTTTTTCTTAATCTATTTTATTCTTTGTGACACTCTTCCTGCTGGCCTCAGAGTGAGAAGAAGACAGAATCTGTGAACTTGGGGGTACACGTTAATAGACTCAGAGATCTTGTGAACATTTTGGGTCTTAAGCACACACTTTCTTGGAGAAAATTGTTTCCTTAACAAATGGAAAGAGAGTTGCCTGCCTTTTTTCAAATTAGAAAAAAAATAATAAAAAAGATTTGCCATGGCAGTACACTCCTTTAATCCCAGAACTCTGAAGACAGAGACATGCAGATCTCTGGGTTTGAGCTCTGCCTGGTCTACTTTGTGAGTTCCAGGCCAGCCACAGCTACATACTGAGATACTTTCTCAAAAAGAAAATAAAAGGAGAATACCAATGCAATTACAGATTAATAATCACAAACAAATATATGTGCAAACAACATGCAGATGTTCTGATGAAGGGTGCCTTAGATAAGCAGTACTCGTTACTAGCAGTACTTCGTAAGCTAGAAGCCAGCCAGCTGCTGTTCTGTTAGACTTCTGGGCTCCATCCTTTAGATATTGAGTCATACCCTTGTGAGAGGGGGGTCTGCCAGGAAGGATTCCCTGAGCATGGCTTCTCAAGAAAGGCACCCACTGACCTTATGTTTGTCTTTCCTTTGTCATTCCCTCCCCCTTTCCTATCTTGTGGTTCACAGACTTGCTAAGAAAAATTTTATTTCAGAAAGGAATTGTGTAAACGTTCAGAGGTGATAATGCTATGCAGCTGTTTGAAAAACAAAGACCAAATGTCACTTCTGACTAAACCGCTATTGTATTCACCAACCAGCAGTACATTGTGTTCACCCCTATCAAAGCCACTCCGTGGTATTTGCACGCCCTTGCTGGATTGAGACATTCTTTGTTGGAAAACTCCAAATGGAAGGCTTTATTATTACTGAAAGGATTATTTTCTACCCTTGACCCTGAATTTAATTTACATCTTTGAAATTAAAACAAAAGTTTCATCTGTTGATGGAGTCTCCTTTTGTTCAACTGGCAAAAAAAAAAAAAAAGAATATCTGCAATTATTCTTGGTGTTGCTTATAAACAGGAAAACAAAAGCAGAGGGAATGAGGACAAAATAAAATAATGGCCTATATTTGCACTCCCATACCAGACACGCAATCACCAACATAGAAAAATATGTTCAATGTGAGTTAAATTTGAATTTGAATTCTAAGCACTTGAGTGGAGTAGTAAGTAAGGACATGCTTGAGAAAGCATCTGGGATGGTCTGGCTGGGAACGCTGTCACTCATTTATTGCATTTACCAGTTAAGAAAGTCACTCATTGTCCCAAGAGGAAGACTGGAGGAAGAAGCAGGGGGCAAAAAGAGAGGGTGCTATTCTAACAGAAAACAAATAAGTCAATGAATAGAGACCCGGTCTTAGGATTCATGCTATCCTGGGTTTCAAGGGAGAACCTGAAGTGCCTGTCGGTTATGCCACATGGCCAGTATCTCAATGCTAGAGAGTGAGGCAGCAAGGGGAAGTACCAGGCTACCTGACTTGAGGCCCCGGTACAGACAGGTTGCCTCCCCACTCTGTAGACCCCCAAACACACGCACAGCACTTTCCTTTAAACCTTCATGTAGGTCATTTTCTACAGGGAGGCTGGAAGATGATGCAAAACCTTTAAAGTAGATGGACCCATGTGGCCAGGATATGGAGGCCTGAGGTGAAGAGAAATCTCCTCTGTTCTCCCCAGGCTTAAACTGTATGGTCATTCTCCATCCTTCATAGCCAGCCTTCCACTAGTGACTTTTCAGATGTCTGTTTCCATCTTGCATTTCTAAATGTTCATTGTTGTTTCTTTCATTTTTCAGTTCAGTTGAAACTGGTATGCCCCTCCTCTGTGAAAGCCAGGGGCTTCCTCAGGCTGTTCCTGTGCCAGTACAGTGCCGATCTATGGGCCATTGGCCTCAGTTTCTTCATTCAAGATGGCCCCTTCCTTGTTGTGCGCCTTGTCCTGATGACCTATTTCAAAGTGATCAACCACATGCTGGTGTTCTTTGCCGTGAAGAATTCCCTGGTGATGGCACTGCACTTCTACCGACTGGTGGCTTTGATCATGGCCACCCGTGCTTCCATGCGAGATCATCCAGAAAGTCCCCAAACACGGCACACTGGCCCAGACCAACCCTCTGAGAGTAGTCCCAGTGAGTGGGAGGACACCTCCAGGGAGGCCCTGCCTTTGCAAACCTCACCTGTCACCTCTGAGGAATCCTACCCCATACCTTAGTTATATGTTCCCTGCACACAGCCGGGAACTTGACTCGTTTTCTTCTTATAGACTGGTTCTCTTTTTACTCCCCGCCCAATTTTCACATACAACAGTTTCTACGGAGACAACATGAAAAGATGATCTTATACCAAAGCCAACGTCCTCTTCATTCTTTCATCTGAATGGAAGAAACTTTGGCAGGTACCTGTTGTTACAACTTACTGAGATTAGCAGACATTACACAACTCTAAGAACCACCCTGAGTGATTGGTTCTTATGGAACTGTTTGGAAAGATGTAGATAGGGCTGTCATAACACACCCTTCCAAGATTTAGGACTGGCAATTACCATCCCCACCTCCAACCCTCTAGGGTGACCTGGCTTGACTGTTACACTCTCTCATCTGATCTCTTCATTGTATCTCTGACATAAAAAAAAAAATGTGTATTTAATGAATGAAGAACAAATGAAGGGAAAATGCTTTTAAAGTCAACTTGCCATGGAATGGAAGCTTAGAACTCATGACATTAGGCTTCTTTGGTACAAAAAATAGCCATGGTAACTACATGGGCCCTCCTAGGAATATCCTTCTGGATATTTTCTGCCGTAGTACATACTTTCTTAGAGGACAGTGACAACTTCGAGCTTTGGTAGCAAAAAGTTGACAGCAGGCCATTTTGGTCCACATACCAAGTTAGTTAACTTCTTCTGCATTGTCAAGGTGCATAACATGGTCAGGTTCCAGGGAGCTCTGGTGTGCAGTGATGAAGGAGTTTGTGGCCCTTAAGTGTTGCCATGGTATCTGGTGGCTGCCTGCAGCCACTGCAAGAGCAGCAACAGTAACAGAGTAAGCCACAGGGAAATGCCATTCCTGGCTCCAGCTTGATTTCAGGAACAAGGTGTTGGAAGATGGTACCAGCCTCATGCATAGGGCCTCCATCAATGCTGAGAGTCACCAAATACTGCCCTATCATCTCCTGGGAAGCCATGATGGCTTTGTTTCCCATGTCTTAAATAGTCTTCCTCTTCCTTTACACATCTCTCCACATTCTGGGTGGATGATTCCAAACCTTTGAAAGCAACTCTTGTTTATAAATATGTGGTGAAAACTGGACTTGGCAATCTAGCAAACAACACTAGAACTGTACTGTTCGAGTTTAAGGCATCAATCAACCCACACTAGCATTCCCAGGAACTCAGAGACATTTATTCAGGGAACTTCCTAAGTTGGATGTGACCATTAGATGATCAATTGAGACATATTTTTTTAATCTCTGAATTTCTGATATGGCATGGTATTTATCCACCACATTTGATAACACGTTTTATAAACAAATTCTATTTTATACAAAACCACAACTATTTCCTAGTAATTTCTGCTTCTATTCCTTGTGATTTCCATTTAAACAATGTCATGGTTGTAAAATGTGCAGGAAACAAATGGAATGCATTTATAATTTTTCTTAATAATTGTATGCAAGTTAAGGTCAAGATTGTATGCATATAAACTGAAGAATGTGGCAATTTTAAAGGTGTGCTATTTAAAATTTTTAGCAATGGGACGTGGGGAGATGCCTCATCGCTAAGAATATATACTGTTCTTGCAGAGGACTGGAGTTCATCTTAACACCCATGCCCTAAGGCTTGCAATGCCCTCTTCTGGTCTCTATGGACATTGGCTGCACTAGTGCAGGAGTATATGTACACACACACACACACACACACACACACACACACACACACACAAATAAAAAATATTTTCAAATATAGTATTCAACAATGGGAAGCAGAAAGGAAAAAAATGCTAATAACTGCTATTTGTCAAACTGCCTCAGCCTTCTCTTGCAGTGGTGGCCTATTTGTGTTGCATACCTGTGCCTGTGACATGTATGTGCCACTCCTTACTGCCTGTTTGCTCACAGCATTTCCCGCCCCCAGAGAAACAAACACTGGGCCTCTAAAAATAGAGCATAAAGTAGTATGACTGTCACAAGGATATTTTTAAGTGCTTTCAAATCTGAGGCTTGGCTTGGTTTCATGAAAGACTTTCTAGTGTTTAAATAAAGAATTTTGTAATTAGCCCTCCTTCTCGGGCCTGTCCAAAATCTGGCTTAACTTAGAATGCCAGGAAGTCAGAGAGCACCCAGGACCAGCTTGGTAATTAATGGATGGTCAAAAATAGACACGTAGTCTTCAAGGCTTTTCCAGGAAAATCTGCTAAAGGCAGCATTTAACCTAACTGCCAGTGTTTCCACGTCCTTATGTTGGCTGCTTTGATCATAGCAAAAAATGTCTGTTGCTTAGTCTAGGTTTTATCTCTGATGAAAAGTTAAAAATGTATTCAGTTAGTTTGTAATTATTACTATTATTTTACCCTTTAAAATTGTGTGTTTTTTTCTTGTGGACTGGTACACGTCATAACGTTTTTAGATTTCCAAGCACTTGTCACAAACTGGTCAGAGCATTGCTCATCCCTCAGGTGTTGACATCTTGAGACATGTTTACATTTTCTTAGTAGTCAAATAGCTTACATCACTTAGGATACAGACTCCGTCGTCCTCTGCCCCCAGCCACCATGCATGGCAAGTTCCTACCTCTGAACAGGAGGGGGCTTCACTTGCAGATTCTGAAGCCATTGCTGGCTGATTGAGGCTCAATCAAATACCTTCCTGTAAACATGTTCCTCCACTTGTGAGAAAGTCCAGTGTCCGTGTTTACGGGATGCTGTGTGTGGACATACCTCAGGGTCCTCTTAGGCATGATGCATATTGACGGAGTCTTAAATGCCACAACGCTGTGCTTAAGACAAGCATACTATGCTGCCTTTGATCATTCTGCCAAATTCTGTTGCAGTTGCAAATGGCAGTGCTAGAATGTGGTGGCTTGAACTGGTCAATGACATTGGATGCTTCCAGGGAGACATCTAAGAGAATTCTGCCACTGGTTCTGTTGTCCCACAACAAACTCGTCAGCAGCCAAGAAGACACAGCAGCCATGAAGACACATCTAGATGATGGGGCTCGCTACTGTCAACACGTATCTTTGTTCTATAGGAGCCTTTTAGAACTCTGGGAAGGCACACCTCACCGTTGCCATGGTTCCAAGTTCAGTGTGGACTCTACTCATCTTGGGTATTTAGTATCCAGAACTCTTGCCAGATTCTCTAGTAAAAAGAGAACTGTTGAAATGAGGTCCATCGACCTCCATTCCACTCCTTAAAATAAACGGCAGAGCCTCACAGATCAAACAGCCTTGAATTGTGAGATAAAAAGACACTGTTAGTTCTTTTGCTGTCTTCTAATTCTAGGCTTTGCTTTTCACTTAGGGGGACTTTTGATCTGTTCTCAGACATATCTGATTAGGGTTTGACTAGGCAGCTGGAGGCTTCACATAACTTTCAGGATGGCAAGAGCAGCTTGACAATGATGGAGGAATGAGCCACCATGGCCTTCTACTTTATCAGCATTTATCTTTGAGGTCTTTTTTTTTTTTTTTTTTTTTTTACTGAAATAACATGTGAGTGTATTTTCTGTGAATATTTCTATATTTTGCTGTGACTGGCCTTTTTGTTTTATTATGGACATTAAATACTTGTGTACAGCTTTCTCCCAATGCCTATTTTTGGTTTTTGCCTACTTTGTGTGTTTCTCTACTGTAATTCATTTCCTTCGTGGTTTTTAAGCTCTAGCTTAATAAGTAATACTGATCTATTTAGAACATGATTAAAGTGGCATTTCCAAATGGCGAGCAAAGAATGACCAATTTTATAAATGATGTTGGAAAATGTTGCTATCCATCTGGAAAACATAAAATGGGATTTTTATCTCATGAAATCTATAGAAATAAATTCCAGATGGATTAAATCTCATTGTAAAATGAAAACTATAAATATTGGATGGAAATACAGAATGTGTCTTGAGCCTGTGGGGGATGGGCAACTTTCTCTGAAGCAAGACCTAAAACCCAGAAGCTATTAACTGGCAGACTTTTCTACATAAATGTTTCACATTTCTTAGTGGCAAAGAGTGTCATGAACATGCAAGTTGGAGACAAAGAAACAAAAACTTCTGTAGTCAAGAAAGAGAAGGGTAGATATTGAGAAGGAAGAGCCAAAGGTATATTTATCCATAAAAGACTGAGCACTTAAAATTATCAAGACCTAAGTGACAATTTAATAACTAACTTAAAAGTAAATAAATCCAGTAGCATGTATGAGCAATCCACATGCAACACACTTTTAAACAAACTTTTCTTACAATATTAATCAAGCCCTTAAAATGTGTAAGTTTAAACTTCAGAATTTCGAGGAATGTTTCAAATGATGTGGAGAGTCATCAATGAATAAATTACCAAGTAGATAGGTCAGAAATACCAAGGTCTTCTAAATTCATTTGTAGATCTAACATCGTCTCTACCATGTTACTAATAAGAGCATTTTGCATGCATGTATGTGTGTGCCATGCATGTGTGTGTGTGTTCAAATGTGTGAGCATGTGTGTTAGAAAGCCTTCACAGTTGTCAGATATCTTCTTCAGTTGCTTTACACATTTTATTGACTAAGGCAGGATCTCTCCATGAACCCAGTACTAGCTAGCTCAGTCAGTCCAGTCAGCCAACTTGCTTATTTCTGTCCCCCAGCACTGGGGTTGCCAACTGCCTTCCATATAGAAAGACATGGTCACATATCCTAGGGATTCAAATTCTGCTTCCTGCACTTGCAGGGCATGCCTTACCTACTGGATCATCTCTCCCGGTTCCAAGTCTTTAATCTCTAGTGACTACTATTGATTTTAACAACAGATTTTACATTCTAGTGATGACTCCTTATGCTAGAATATTTTATAATGAAATAAGCACAAAAGAACAGCTGGAGCATGATTTTAAAAGACAAATGAGAGAGTGGTTTCAGTATATTTAACTACATTACACAGTTACAATAGACAAGAGAATTTGGTTCTGTCATGTGAATAGGCAAGCCAAAAATTTGAATGGGATAAAGTCAATAAATATGCTGAACT